CGATACCAATATTCCGTAGGATAATGCGAGAAAACGAATTTTAAACTGAATAAAACGATAACCAAAAACCACCTCGTGGATGTCTGTGAAGCTTCGATGGAATGTCGTGACGACAACATGTCCCTAAGAGCAGCGCCACAACGGGAAGTACGGACACTCATAGGTATTACTTAGGCCTGAACGTAGTACCGAGGCGCTTTTGGTGAAGAAAGCAACAGCAGAGTTGGCCACCGTTCGTTTTAGTACCGGGTGGTCTTTCCGGCAACGCTTCTTTGGCGTGGTTTGGAGATTGTGTACGCGCGATGCAATATTCACGCTACGAAATGTCTGTTTAAACGGGCCCTCATGCCCACCTTTCCTGATCACGAGATAGCCGCCTTCGTCGACCGCAACTGATAACGAACTCGATCGCTAAGAAGTCAACACAACTACCGTTGTGGCTGAAAGGCGACGGCCCATACGGCTTTGCAAAGCGGCGCGCATGTAAACAAATCCCTGCGGCGCTCTTCGGGGATGCAGGAGAGAGCCAACGTCCAGGAAGATACGTTTGAAGTAAAAAAGTGTCAGCAAGATCCTTGTAAATACCTGTTCGCACTGGGAGCAGAACCGCACTGGCATTGCGTTCTTGGTAACCCCTTCGGGAACGGTCTTTTAGAACTGATTTTATGAACCGCTGGGCCTCTAGGCAATCACAACTCGATGTTGACGAGACGCTCGGCAGAGAAAGACTGGACCGGCATTGAGCCGCTCCCAAAAACTCCTCTAATGTATCATGTCGAAATAAAATGGACATCTAAAAAAAGTGTACGTACCCAAGTTGCGAAGGCAATTCATATGGCATTTATTTGAGCTCTATAACACACACACAAAAAAAAGGAGATTGAATCGAGGAGAGTGTCCCTCCTCGAAGAGATCGTTCGTCACCGCTGCATCTAAAAACAAGCTAGGTACGACGAGGGGAAAGACTGGCCTTCTTACCCCAAATTAGAGGTCAGGGTTCAAACTATTCATTCGAGGAGGGTCCACAGAAGTCGCGTGGGCGTATTCCATTCATCAAGCCAGCCGATCGTGTGCAGATGGTCTTGCCCCGGATCGTCGAAGTGTTTTGCTAAGCCTAGCGTCTTTGGTGGTCGCTTGGTCTGCGGGTCCTTGTCTCGTTGTAGCTTTTTCAGGTATCCGTGGTCCTAGCGTTTGTCTCCGCCGCAGCGTTCAGTTTCAATTACTTTTTTTTTTCTTCTTTTCTCTCGTTGGGACGTGCACAGAGAGCACACAGAAATGCACGTCGGTCGTCGCGACGAGCGATGTTGCCGGCGATGTCAATTTGATCATAAAAAGTGCGTAAAGCTTTGTAACTGTCGTAGGCGTGGTCGTAGGATCTCATCGTAGCGTGCGAAAAACTTGCGATAATTTCGCTTCGTGAATAAGGAACTTTTCTTAGGTTTTGCTGTAAGGTATCGTTTTGTGAATAAGCTCTGTTACCTGTTGCGGACGACGAAGACAAGACAGACGGGTCATATAAATACGACTCTAGGCAGAATCGCTTCTCGTCCATCATGGCCTGGTGATGTAGCGACGTGGTGGCATCTTCGTCCTTATTAATGTCATCTACCCAACGCTCTCGTCGCGTTGGTCGGCGACCATTCACTCGAAGCCGCTCCGCCGGCTCCGCAATATGCTACTACAGCCCTCGGGCATAGAGTAATCTACACAAGGTAAAGAGCGGACACTGCCGTAGGCCCCAGCGTCCCGTATAACAACTAGCGCGCCAAACGGTCGATGAGAAAAGCTTACTCTTGATTCCGGTTCCGGTGGTTTCAGTTTCGGTTTCGTTTCCGGCGCTTTTTTTGCCGAGCTTGCTGTCGCGCGGCTTCTCTTGATGGCACAAATGCTTCTGATTAGAGGCTTCACACCACGAAAGAGCAGAAATTATTGTCTTTACTACTGTGAAATTTTAAGATATCGATTCTTGTCATGCTGCTTCCGTTTGTTTACGTGTTTACGAAGTATTTTCAGGCAACAACAAAAAGTGCTTCAGAATGATTTATTTTGAGGTCAATCATAAACAGACTTGAACGCTTGAACAATTCAGAATCGCGAAGTATTCTTCATGAGGGCACACACATTCATATAAAGTAACGTTACAAGAGTCCCACATTTACCAACACTCCAAACCAGAACTTTCCAGTGATGCAAAACGGTTTGATTGAATTAATCATTGGTTGTCACAATGCTGAGCAGTTTCAGTAATGTGGACATGTGGCCATAGCTGTCATTAACAAGTACTGTAAGCGACTTATTGTTGCGAGCTCGACATTTAGCGATGTGCCAGTTTCGGGAATATTTCGCGGGCATAAACTTTCACCACCGTGAGTGACATTGCATGTATTCATATCCATAGGGCAACTTCTTCACGTTACCAATTTCTTGTGAACTTGATCAAATCGCGATATTTGCGAAAATTAGGTCCACGCGAAGATTAATTCGTTTACGCTATTAGAGCACAGCCTAGACTGCACAGAATTCAAAGAAACAGATTCAATGTCAATATACAGTACACTATTTGGAGTAGCCTAACACTTCTTGTAGGCTAACAAAAAGGACCTCATACAGACCCAGGGAATATTCAACATTCCCATCCATATTCAACACAATGAGTGTACAGCAGAAAATATAGCAATGCTAGTACAGGGCATGTGGAAAATTACAGCAAGAACAGGCAGCTAAGGTCAAACCACCTAACAGTGTTAGGTAACAAAAATATACAAAAAATCTGTTACCAAAGTAACAGATTTTTTCTAAATATACAAACATTCTGTTACCAAAGTAACAGTAACAGACACAACATTTGGTCAATATACAGGGCACATTGATTAAAACATTAACATGTCGGACATGTTCGGCATATACTCCACGCACGCACCCATCAAAGATCACTTTGCTACAAAACGTCCTCATCCCGTATATAAAAAAACTATGTCCTGCATTATAAAGTTGAAAGAAAGCCAGAAATATAATCGGCATGCAAACTGCACAACCCAATTAAAGATCGTTGTCTTTTATAGGCGCCTGAAACACCATACCATACTAAGCTTTGAACTTGTCGAGTTGAGCGCCAGGAACAGAAGAATGCAACCGAACTTTTTCCAAGTTTCGATTAATAAAGCGCACATGCCAGCACAACCGCACCCTGCAAAACATCTTCAAAAACCTCCGCTGACACTCCTCGGAGCATAAATGCAAAAAAACCAATACGCGACCAGATGGTGATACAAAACATCACAGACATTGCGCAGGTGTGCTTCGCTTTCTATAACACACATAAAGTGAGATTCCAGGCTCTGAATGTAAGTGAAAGTAGCCTCCGATGGCACAGTTAAGTTGCCGAACATGTTTCTTGGAATATGGAAGGCTTTAAGCATTGTAAAATTCTGGTGGGGCCAGTTCAAGTTGTCAGACCCTTTCCTCAGTGACCCAGAACAGAGACAACCCTGTGAACTTTTTTCCAGGAACAGCTTGATTAGAAATCCTGCAACATAATAGGTGGCAGAGTCGTCTATTATGTTAGAGTCTTTACTTGATGCGAGTTCCGAAATATCGTCCAATAGAGGGAAGTCGTCCACGGGGGCACATTCCACGGCATCAGCGATTGAGGTTGTCTCTAGTGAAAACGGGGTCATCTCCTGAAGGAGGTTAGTGTTGCCATCTTCAACATTTTCCTTTTTCGAGAGCTTTAGGAGCTTCCTAATCCCAATGTGCTTCAGTCCACATGTAAACTGATACACATTAGGATTGGTGTTGCAGCCGTGTTGTTGCCTCATCTGCCCGAAAATATTTTCGGCATCTTGCTGCAGTCGCCGTGTCAAAAGAAAGCTGAAGTTATATTTCTCAGAAATATCCTCCCAGAGCATGAGGACGGCCCTGATAGTAACCTGCCACCCAGTGACTGTTTGTGGCTGCCGTCTACCCTCAAACTTCCAGGCTGCCACCCATGGAAGTTGGTTGCAAAGGAAATCAACGATTTCAGTGTCGCCCTTTCTAATCGCATAGCGTAACTTTTGTTCAGATTCTTTTTGTCTCGAGCTGTTAAGACAGTCAAAACGTTTGTCCATGCGGTCACAAAAGTATGCCGTGGAAATGGCCGCCTCAGGGAGCTGTCTGGCATACACAAGAGCTAAAAGTGCAACGCATACTGATGAACTGAGGACCTGAGTCGCACGTTTCACCTTCATGTTACTGAAAGGTTTCTGGTAAATATGCCGGTCTGTCAGCTTCAGAGCTAATCGTAGTCGCATCTCGTGCGTGGAGTGGTAAAGTTGCACAATGTAGTTCCAGTCTACATTTTCACTCCCGATGTGAAGCTTGTAAGCTTGCAGGTTGTTACGGGTGATCTTTATCAGGTGCGGGACATCAAAAATAAAATAGACACTTGCATTTTTACTTTGAAGAATGGCTGCTCAACAGACACTCCAAGTTGGTGCGCCAAACTTACGTTGGAGACACCCTGGTCACAGACCACTGCTTTGATTGTAATGCCAATGTCCTTCAGCTGCTCAATCAGTGGCATAAGCTGGTTACGAGTTACACAGGATGGTGTTGACGTATGCCCAATAGTATATGCTACAGGTTGCACCCACCTCCTAGAAACTCCAGAGAGGAGGAAAACCTGGGCTCTGTCATCAATACGGGAAGTTCGCTCAACACCATCATCTGCAAATCCGAGGACAACATCCTGCGCCACATCGTATGACAAGTTCTTTTTCAACATCATCTCGTCAAAAACTAAGGTACAAATGCGGTCGCGTTCATTCCATGACTTTGTTCTTGACACAATCGATGACATGATGCCTGGAATGATACCTGGCGTCATTTTGACATTGGCTAGCCACCTTCGTAGTGAACGCCGAGATGGTAGCGTGAACACTGAAGACACAAATCGGTATGCCCGCGGTCCATGCAAATTCAGATGGAGCACAAATTTCTTCAGCCACAGTAAAAATCGCTTCCCCTTGCCCTTCGACCTATTCTTTACATGCGATGATATGAGGTGAAATACCTCTTCAGAAACATGAGGCCGAATTATTTCCAGAGCTTGAGAAGCTGTCTGAGGCGTCTTCAGCTGCTGTTTCCGCAGTCTGGCTATCGCCTTTCTGTAGCTGGAAATTCTCGCCTGGAGTCGCTTGATAACGTCCTCGGGCCTTTTCGTGAGCTTGCGGAAAACAGGTGCAGGATGGTTTGGACCAGCTATAAAAATGGCAACAAGTCAGTGAGATTGAAAACAGTTGCAATAAGTGCGATACGATTTAACCAGTACAAGCACCACTAACCAGTAGCATACCAGGTAAGGTGTGGAGTGAAGCTTGAATTTTCTTCTTGTGCTTTACCATTCAAGCACTGACAAAGCCAGTGAAACTTCTGACCACCAATTACGTTATTCTTTTACTAGTCATGTAAAATGTTCGGTACTAAATGTCTTCACGCAAAATCCTTGATAACCTTGCAAGTTCGAAAGGCTGAAATAGCATGAAAAACGCAAAACAGCCATGAAGAATTCTCTTGAAACCTCCTCTTGATATGTGTGTTCCAGTTTCCCACACCTCCCCAGTCGTTAGTAATAAAAATGGTTAGATCGGTATGCCACACACATGAAGCAAAGACTATAGCTTATAAAGAGACCTAGAATTCTTTAAACTGATCCTTCTAGGACAGATTGTATTATCCACTGGCTATAGAGGTTCACACAAATATGTTTTAAAAAGTGGCGAAAGCAAAATGGGACACTTACAGTGTTGACCTGGACCACAGTGGCCAGCGAAAAGACCAGAAGAGCTGGTTGCCTGACTTGGGTCTGGAAGAGTGCGCATATTAGGCACAGGCTGGTGCTTTAAAATAACTCTATATTACCGAGTGCTGCAGAGTGCATTACTGCGGAGCTACATGGAAGTGGTGAATTCTGCAGTCTGTCGGGCTCTGCCTGGTCTGGAAAGGTGCACCATGACGAGATAACCTGTTAGCAAGCACAGAACGGCTCGCTGCGACGGAGCTGCACTGGAGTGAAGGGCCAGATGAGCTGGTTGCCTGAGTGGGACCTGGAAGAATGGGCTTGTTAGCCTACATAGAGAAGTTACTTATACCTTTGTGTATATGAGGGAAACACATTATTACAATCACCTATTGCAGATGCCCAGTTTATGGGAGGACGAACAGTAGGCACAGCTGATCGCACTAGGGTTGTTTGCCCTGGGTCCATAAAATCTTTTGCAGTGAAGTGATCACTGCAGACGCGATAGGTGGCATAGTGTTGCGAAGCAGACTTTCCAAGAAGATCATACCTCTTGGCATAGTCGAGCCAAGATTTTGACCTGTAATATATATTGTTTTTCAATGTGTTAAATGTACACTTTGGAACAAAATGTCAGATGCCAATCTGCAACCCTCTCTTCGACATTTTGGCTCCGCTTGCAAGCAATGGGGACATATTTTTATTTGGCAGGTTTGCTTTGGATGTTTCAATGCACACAGACAAATTTGGGTTCCTGCTCTAGAGTAGTGCAAAAGTAGGTCAACTAAGAAATCATGGTTTTTGCGCGAGAGGGCGAACACAAGAGAGTACAACAAGCACAAGCGCGCTTGTGCTTGTTGTCCACCCTTGTGTTTGTCCTTTCGCACAAAAAAAACATGATTTCTAACGTTCACCAACTCGCCCAACAACAGGTCATTTTATAGCTAGTTAACAGCAGGTGCACATTCACATTTCTTTAGGAAAAGACATTATCAGTAGAGAGCAATATTCACCCCACCATGAAGCAGCGCTTTTATAACTCAAATTTAGAGCCACATTAAAAAAGCACGAAATTTCACCCCACCATGAAGCAGCACCTTTATAACCCCAATTTAGAGCCACATTAAAAACGATACATTCAAGCTATGTATGAGACAAATCAAGGGCTGCTTCTTTTCCTTAACAATTTTGTCTTATAAGTTTAATTTGTCAGTTTTTATCTTCAAAGACAAAGTGGTAATGCAGTACTAAAATTAGTATAACTGACCTGAGATCGCTTAGCCCAAATCCCTAAATTACAGTTAAGGCATCCAGTCAACTTTAGCGCTTGATTTAAAAGCGCATTGTATTAATTAATTATATTGTGAAGAAAAATAAATTATTGGGATTTTTTTATATGCTCAAGTATGCAAATGGTTCCAAGGAACTATTGACAAGAAGGAGCTCACGCCAACCTACCTTGCGTCACGTGCGATTCGGAAAAACTTTGTGCCGGGTTTCTTGTGCGTTTTACCGTTGTTTTTACACGATGCGACACAGCAGTAGCTACAGTAGTAGCAACCGGAGAGCATCTGAGAAAGAAAAAAAAAAGAAAGATATAAACACAAATATTCGTAGCTCTTAGTACGATAGCGCAGCCCATGTAACAATAATAACACACACGGGAAAAGCCGGCTGCTGTCTGAGGTTTATTTCGCAGCGTCTGTTGGACCTCTGAGCATGCAAATAACGGGTAAAACAAACGGACACGATAAAGTTCGCTTTTTTCTCTGGCCCTTGTCTGCGCACGCTGTGTTTTGCTCGCGACTAAGCAATAGCAAAGAAATGAGAAAACGTCTTACCTTCTGAAGAAACCTGTTAGGCGCAGACAATATCCACGTTGTGCTCACATTCTGCTCGCTGTGCTCACATGTGCTCAACACAAAACGCGTTGACAGGTGTCATGCACCATGCGGTCACGCCGTCCAAGCACGCGTCCGTCCGTCCGTCCGTCCCGCTCCAGCCACTCCAGCCGCTTTCTCAGAGCAACTGCAGGAACCGGAACTGGCCCGTACATCACGTGATCTTCTTAACGTAGTAAACAAAAACTATTTGACCGTTTATGATGCTTGCAACAATTTTAAATATAATAAAATTAAAACTTGAGTATTTATTTATAACAAACCTCACGAAATATTTTCATTCTTTGGCACACTGGCACCACTTAGCGGTCGGTGAGAAAACTAAACGCTGGGCCGCGAAACGGCTCGAGTGGCCACTCTTTTCCTTGTGTAGATTACTCTATGCCTCGGGTACTTCGACTATGCGAGATTGTAACACGCTGACGCCACCAAGTGGCAAGACTCATAACTATGGTACGCTTGGCCATAGGCTTGGCTCTCCGAGGCATGATGACGTCAAGACCGAGCCGGATCTCCCGAGATGCATCGCGCTTTTCGACGGCTGATTTTGAAGCGCTCGCCGAAATCCAGGCATTTAGAGCGGAAAATACAGCCATCCGCTTGAAATATGACTATGCGATTGTCAATTACAGGTTTATCTGATTCGAATTGACTTATCTCTAGGTGTTTTCTGTATATTTTAAGTTTCGATTCAGCATCCCTTTAAAGGAGAACTCCGACTTTTCGAGCTACCTAATCCAAGGGCATAATCTGAATTCGGATGGCTTCCTTATTCCGAAATGCTATCTCATTCTCCCAGATTCACTCTAGTTAACCGAAACATCATTCTCCCTAGTTTTTTCCCAGTTTTCCCCGCCGCCCAAGCGTCACGTCACTTTGTGCAGCAAGGCGTGCGGCCGGCAATCGGGTACACTCGCGCTTGCTTTTCTCGCGTCTAACAGCAAAAAAATCTGGGCGTTCGTGCTGTTTAGAGTTGATAATTATATATATTTGCACAAAGTATGGCCTTGGTCTATGTGCATAACTATAAGAAAGTAAAAGAAAAACGGGAGCAATTGGAATTTCATAAAACCATTTTTGCAACTTGCTACGCTCAAGCCGCGCCTCGCTAGTTTCGTGATATCGCTGGTAAATCCATTTTCTTTTTATTAGAAGATAGCTGGTGAAAAAAGGTCGAAGAGTCACGCAATAAATTTTTTGTGAATTGCCAAAGCACCGCGGAAAATGCTCGGAATGTGGGTACAGATGCCCACACGCTCATATGACCTGAAGGAACGTGCCATTTGTTTTAGACTTTCTTTTGAAAAGTTACTTGTTGCAGGCGTCAGCATGTGTGACTACTCTTGTGGCATGAATATGCTCCTTGGTGCTTAAGTAATTTAGCAAAAGATCTGTAAACCATTTCTGAAAAGCGCTTCTGGTCGATGCCATTTTCAGCGTTCATGCGTGTGGCACATACATTGCTTGCCTTCCAAAGCGATGAACATGTGCATGCTGGGCTGGGACCTAAGACATGTAGACTGTGATTATCGTAAACAATGAAAAGTATAAAATGGAATGAACTGCGTTCGTGTAGATCAGATGGCAGGTTACTGGTCATGACGATTGTGTTAAAATGACGATTAAAGGAACTTCACAACCACCAAGCCAAACATCAAGGTGCAGGGGAATGCGTATAAAATACACAAATACACTGTTCATCTCCAAATAAAGAATATTTGCTTGAAGATACAATAGTGCGTGATGTACAGAAAGACATTATAAATCTTTTAATTCAAAATAGGGAAGGGGTAATTCCATGTAAAGTTTTTTTTAAGTTAAGTTCGTTTGGCACAGTTTTCATCAGCTGTAAATTTGCATGCCTCCCCTTAACAACATTAATATTTTCATAATTAAAAAAAAAACTTTTCAGCTCTATATAAAAATGTTTGCAATATAATAAATTAAAGACATTTTCATCACTTCTTCTGCAGCGAATATTGCACGCCAACCATTTGACAAACCAGGCAAGGATCTATCGTATATTAAAGGGGTACAAAAACAAAAATCGAAATATCCAAATTTCGTTCGGAAATGAGTCAAGCATGACAGATAATAACCGTAAATGATAATCGCACATTTGTATTTTAAACGACTGGCTATATTTTTTGTTCCAAGCCGTGCACTCGAGCAAGCGCTCAAAGAGAAGTGAACGGAGAGCGCGATGCGTCATGGGATATCCGGCGCAAACAAAAACAGAAAGAAAAGATTCCCCGCATTGGTGACGTAGCAAGGCTGGCGTGGTTATGAGCTTTGCCCTTGGTGGCGTTGTCAGCGTTGTGGTGGTGTCAATAGTGTCAGCGCGTAACAACCAAGCTGTTCGAAGTACCCGTTGAGTGACGAGCATGTTTCTGGCCCAAGGAGCACATAGCTTCCACAACACTGTCAGCTTAGGGCTGAACGTTGTGGGGAAAGCAACTTTTGTTCGAGGTTTGAGCGACGGGCTAATCTTCTAGGGGGACAATGGATGTGTCCGGTTGTACGAACGAGGGTCCGAGAAAGAGGGGAGTCCTTCCTTACAGTCTTCTTGGATTGTTTGGTACAATGCGCGATTTGTGAGTTGAGCTAGGAGGAAAGCTAAGAAGGAAAATGTTGAAATGCCAAAGAGCGGCGCTGCTCCGAAAGAATCTGCTATGTTACGACTACGTAGAAAGTTTCCCAACGTTGCTAAATTACCTCCCAAATAGGCTCTGCATGCATCCACCAGGTGCACATTGAAAGATTGTTTATTTAGCTTGAAAATTAGTTTTCTTGTGCCTTTCAACGGAAGACTGGTGTTTTTGAGGTTAGGGTGCAAGCTAGAAAATGAGCGCTGGAATTTCGTTTTCCTACCCTTTAATGGAGCTCAACACCTGATCCATGAACCTCTGTAACAGCAGACAGGAATAGCAATATGTCAAAAGTCATGTCTAAATTCAGACTTGAACTTCGTTCATACGTTTCTCTTCTTGTTTTCAAGATTTTGGCTGCATGAGTGGAACCCCTAGGGTCGCCCGAGCTAGATTCGACGTCTCAAACAAATATAGTGTTTCTAAAAAATTAAGAAAAAAAGAATTCTGAACTAATTGTGAATAACAAATGTGACTTTGCAAAATGTCGACTATAGTGCTAGATTCTGTACTATTTTTCTCGGTTCTTCGCGCTCTTCTTTGGACGGATGTCGTAATGGTCACAGCCGGCTTGAGTTTGCGCTTGCCACTCTTGAGCTGCTGAAGGATACTCAACTCGCAGCATGCGGCTATAAAGTATTTCGAGCAAAAGTGAAAATGTTTCATGTGACACTAGTTATCTCGGCACACAGCTCGCGCAAAAGCACCTTGACATAGTTGGCCTCCATTGCTGCCGGGGAACGCTTTTTTTTTTCCTCCCACGAAAACAAGGGCAAAAAAGAAGCTTTTTTCCGGCACTGTTTTTATAATCTATAGCGGAGCACAGATTGCAAAGGAACTTTCAACCTTGAAGCTGCGAAAAAATTACCTTGATCGCTGGCGTTCGGAAAGCCACTTGGCGGCTGCCCGAGTTGCTCGTCCGCCTGCACATCCGTGACGTACGCGGGTAGGGAAAAGTAGAGATTTTTCATTGATGCCAGTAGAGGGTCGCCTCCTGGAATCTTCCCGGCCGGCATAACTGGAAAGTTCAATAACTTCACGGAAATATATATATTTTTTTAATATTTTGGTTATCAGTTAAAAAAGGCTTATTGATGCGGTCTGCAAATTTCCAGCCAAATCGAAG